CTTAATTAAATTTGGAGTGACGCTCGTTCGCCCTACCTTTCTCTTTCATACTTTGAATGAGTTTCTTTGCAAAGAAATAAAAGGAGTGAACAAATACCTTTCCTATGATACCTCATACGTCTAAATCGGTAAAGTTTTGGCTGAGTTATTAAAGTTTTTCTTAAACCAATCTTTGAAAAGAGTTCAATAATAGCACAAGAAATCTCAATTTTATGATTCCGTAGACATTTTTTTTTTTAATTTTTATGCAAATTGTTTAAACTTAGACTGTTTTGTCATCTGAGGTGATTATTTCTAAATTACTTTAAAAAACGATTTCTATTCATAAAAAACTAAATTTTTGGAGGTATTTTCAAATTGGTCCAGCTCACGTAAATCTTAATATTTTTCCGAAATATTTTGGTGCAAGTCTTAAAATGTAATAGATTTTATAATTCCAATGGAAAACGATTTTTTTTTGTTTGGGGAGTGATGCAGTCTAATGTACATACTTATAAATTATACTCGTAACAATCACAAATAAATAAATATTGCATGCTGCAGGAAAGTGAAATTAACAATTACTTGTACAATCGATTTCTTTCTGTACACATACGTTCATACATATATATGTATGCACGATTGCACATAACATTTATTTCGAATGCGTGTTTGTTAACATATCTTCATATGTATGTATTTCCATATATATTTTAAATTTATTAGTTTTGGGTATCATAAAATACTTCAGCTCTCCCACACTATTGCAGGTAATACATTTTTTTTTTTTGATACTTTCTTTGAGATTATTTTTAATTTTTATTGTATTTATTTTTTTTAAATCATTTTAACATCAATTTAATCAATAATTTTATTTGAACTTGAGATAATTTTAATGAAAAATTATTATGGAAAAACAACCATAATACGGAGATCAGCACATATCCCCATCAGACTTCTTTATCGAACTTACGAGTATTTCAATGCTTGAATTTCAGCGTACAATGCCTATGCACTACCCACTGAGTTAGTTCGGCCCATGTATACTGTGGTTGCTTTTTCCCTTTTCTTATTTGTCAACCCAAGGTAGAGCGGAGATGTGGTGATTTCCGAAAGAGCAGCTATAACTTATACCAATGTAAATTCGATTGCCGTCGAGACCAAAAGCTTCCATCTTCTTCAGTTATCGCAAAATCACTTACAAAATGCTGCTTTAAAGACAAAAAACGAAATCTTTTCATCGGATAGTCCCTGGGTATAAATATTTCCATGCTCATATAAGAATTTAGGAGTACCATTATTTTCTTCATTATGCAATGATCGGAACAAAATCAAATTAGTATCGAACCACTTTTGAGATACCACCTTTCCGATAAAAAGAAATGACTATCGAAAACGGTTCACGTGATCCAAAGTTATCCGGTAACAAACATAAAAAACACACAAAAAATATTCCGATGAATTGATAATCTCCCTCCATTTTTCGAAGTCGGTAAAAAATTCCGCTAAAGGAATTCCAAATGAAAAGAGAAGCTTGGAAACAGCCCAATGAACCCGATCCATTGTAATCGAAGCTAAATATCTGCATCTGGCGTTATGTTAAGGGTGATATCGAAGACATCTCAAGCCATCTCTGGCGAGGTGCATATACCGCGAAAATTAGTGCGCCTGAAAAGAGTGTTGACAAGTCGATTTTCCGACAAAATAACCCCAGACCTTTACCACTAAGAACTGTTTAAAGGCTGGTATTGGGATATGTTATAGCTCCCTCAGATTACTATTTATTTCGTTCGATGCGGTCAACCTTTTCTGTAATTTGACTTCGAAATAGAAGGTGAGCGATGGAATCTGCAAATTGCCTGATAGATACACAGAAGACAGAGCTTCTGATGGCTCATATTTCGATGTAACATACATACATACGTATAAGTTCAAAATGTTATGGGAAAATTCGACAGTACTCTATCAGGCGTTATGAGTGCAGCTCTGCGCATTGCATCGAACTGGAAAACCAGAACTTTAATACTCTGATGGAGTCTAATATCTTGGAGATACCCTTGATAAGATACTGAATTGGAATTCTCATCTAGATAAAATATGTTGGCCTGTCGGAAGGCTTTTTGGTCGCACTATAGCCCGTCCGATTGCAACTTATGCTTCCTGAGTTTGGTTGCCACGAACGTTGCAAAAAGATGCCATTTCACATCTTAACAAACTCCAAAGCTTGGATCTACTCTCGGTTACAGGATCAACCGCGGCCCTGGGGTCGCTCCTGAGTTGGAGTCCACTCCATATTCTTGCCCAGCAACAACAGTTGCGAGGAAAATGCAAATGCAAATTTCTGATAGTACTCTTCATAAGAAGGCACAACACAAAGGTATTTGCCAAAATACCAGATATAGGAATTTGCGAGTTCTCCGACTCTAAAGGTTCGTTCGCACAAAGCCGAGCGATGCCAAGCGCAGGAAGGCGGAGCGAAACAAAGCTCCAGGTGTGCAAACTGAACGAAACGAAACGGTGCTTTTCTCATGGACTCGGCTGCAAAGATACCACAAAACTTACCTTAAATGAAAAGCGGCTAAATTATTTGATTAATTTGCTTCAAAAGATTTGCTGAAGAATTGGTTTTTATTTATATATTTTGGGTTTTTATTTGCAGCAGAAGCAAAAAGAGATTTGAAAATGAAAATATGCTTTGCTTTCAACTCCAAAAGGCTTCTGGGAGAGCCTGCTGTATGAACACCTTCATAGAGCTCCATCGATTTGAAAGCTCGGAACGGCTTCGCTCGGCTCGGCCTCGCTTTCTGTGTAAGCTAAAAGAAATCTGCTTTGGAAGGAAATTCTGGGTCAAAATTCCAATCCGAGAGGTTTGGTCAAAGGGTTCACCGTAATTGAATCACAGATATGTACACTGGTATACAGATGGATCACAGATGAAGGGCATAGCAGGTGCGGGTTTCTATGGACCTGGCACCTAACTTTCTATTGCATTGTATATTTTGTCCTTAGTCTTTTAGACCGAGATACTAACAGTTTTAATTTGAGACAGATTGAACCTTGAAACGTTTTGAAACAGCTAGGCTAGGTTTTCAGACAGCTAGGTGACCATAATGGCACTTTTCATTAGAACGACCACCTCTAGGCTCGTTAAGGAGTACTTTGCACTAACTCTTAGCAGCAAGAAACACGTTATTACTATGCTGGGTACCAGGACACATACGGGATTGTACTTGTGGAACCGGAACCTTTTTACGGACTCAGTTAGTCCTTCTCGAAACTAGTAACACATCTACACTGCGTTTAGACTATCCTTGCCTTATGTGTTTGATGCGCTGAACATGAATCTGAAATCACGTCAGGATTTTTTCCCCACCTCTAAGGTATGGCCGATATTATGTGACAGACGCGTTGGTACACAATGACTTAAAGATAAGATTTAAAAGCAATTTGTTTCTAACTTAGATGAAAATTCTACTAAGCTCTTACATGCACTGGATTGGTCTATCCACAGAGTCGCACTGCTGCAGACTTTGGCTGCAGTTTCGAATACAGCTTTTTTTATTATTGGTGCGACATCGCATTGCCTGTGAAACGCCTACATATAGAATGTTGGGGTTTCGGCAATTTAATTAGTTAATTAATTAATTAATTAAATATATTGTAAATTAAAGTTGGCTCTTAGCGAAACAGCAGCCTTTGTCTTGATGAAGAGGACACTTCGGATCACATTTTGTGTGATTGCCTGGTATTGGCCAGAATAAGACCGCAATACTTAAATTCTTCCACAGTCTAAGCCCTTAGTGTCAGGAATTCGTCTACCGAGGAGCTGTTAACTTTTATTAGGAACGCTAAGAGTATCTTGGGCCGTCAAGTTTAGGTTCTTGTTTCTGTTAAATACGAATTACAATACAAGTTTTTTTTCTACAAAGGAATTCCATGCACTTTTTTCAACAAATTATCATAAACCACAAGTATTATCCATTACACTCATTTCGATTGTGTAAAAAATGCGTATAAAAAATCGCTCTTTAATAATTATTTTTTTTACTTTTATTTAACTATTCCTTAAATAACCGTTATTTCTGGATTTTATTTTATAAATCCAAAATAACATTTATTTTTGATTTTTATCTAACAGTTATTTTTGGTTTTTAAATTATATGTCTTTGATAATAGTTATCGAAGACTTTTATTTATAAAAGTCATTAATAAAAATCAGTCACTGACTTTTATTTCTTAAATCATACTTTTAAAAGTCATTTGTATAAGTCGCAGTAAACTTTTGTTTTCCAATACCTACTTAATTGCGAAAAATGTTAATGAATGATTTAAAAAATAAAAGTCGGTGACTGATTTATATTCATGACTTTTAAAAGTTAAAGTCACTGACTGATTTTTATTGATGACTTTTATAAATAAAGGTCTTCAATAACTGTTATCTAAGACATAAAATATACAAATCAAAAATAATTGTTATTTTGGATTTATAATATAAAAATCAAAACTAATTGTTATTATTTTTTTAAGTTTTGCATAAAAATGGCAAATATCAATTTATTTTCAAGTTTGAATCTGGGTGAAAAAAAAAAATCGATTGGTATGTATCTCTTAGAACATTTCCTTCTTAGTGAATTTTTCCATGACAGTTTTCATCAATAACTGTTATGTTCGGTTCCTGGTAAAATTTAATTAGGTGAAATAAATTAGATGCGTGACATTGATAAACTCACAGGTAATAATTAAAGTCCAAGTGCACATATGAATGAATACAATACGAATAGACGCATTTGTTAAAATACCTCAAATGCCTCCGTAATGTAATTTTTCAAAGTCATTAGAGCAATGCAAAAATTATTTCTTTGAAAATCATACACTGTGCATCACGCAAAATAAATATCAATTGCAAGCTATTGCGAACAAGTTTCCTTCTTAAGACTTTTATTTCTTTAGTGCAACCAATTGAACATTTGCTCATGTACTTACTTAAACATTGCTTTTGCTATTTTTTTTTTCTTTCACAGGATGCTGATACTGTGGAACGACTTAACGAGTCGGGTGAACTGCGACAGCTGCTCAAACCATACAAGGTAAGTCTCGACTATCGGCTATCGTTGGTTGCGAGATTGGCGCATTGGCCAAAGGAAATGCCTGCACGCGTCAACCAATTCATCCAATTGTTATTGACATTTGTCAATGCGGCATGTGACCGCTTTTTCATGGTCATTGCACCAACCATAGCACGAGAGCGAGCGCATTTCGCATTTAATAAAAGATACGTTTATAAATTATATGTGTATGTACTTATGTTTTTTTTTATATGGAATTCTTTAATTTATTTCTTTCTTTTTTACTTCGTTGTCCTTATCAGTCAATTGCTACCACATTCACTTGTCAAACATGTGGCGGCTACCGTCTACTGCCGTGTCCCTCATGCAATGGCTCAAAGAAATCGGTGCATCGAAATCACTTCACGGCCGAATTTGTGGCACTGAAATGCATGAATTGTGATGAAGTTGGACTTGTCAAATGTCACAATTGCTAAGCGAATCTAGCGGGGAGGAGTCAATCATCATAACCTGCCTCTATGTGCAAGTGGGTAGTTAAAATGATGAGGAGCGGCCAATCAAAGTTTGATTGACTAGGCTGAATCCAAATGGGCGTGTGGAGCCAACAAACGGGCAATCGACAATTGTCATATGGTAGAGAGTAGCATTGCTTTGGCATGCCACATAGTTATGCATGCAGATTTAATATATACATACATATGTATGTAATTTGTGGCATGTACATATGTATATCACTAATTATATAGTTAGCTTAAGCAACGAAAGAGTCACTCAATATATATTTTTTTTATTTTTAACTTTGAACGGTAAGTTTCCGCTACTGTGTTGCTTATAAGTAAACAGAATTTTTGTATTTTCTCTTTTATTAGTATTTTTACTTTAAATATGTAGTTAGTGCAATAGCGTAATTTTATTACTAAGAAATGTTTTTTTTTTTTGCGAAAGTGGTAACTATGAACTAATAATGGAAATATATGCATACATATGTATAATATAAACGAACAATTCAACGAAATATATTTGATGAACGCTTGCTTCGCTGACCTTAGCACTATTTATTTTTAATGTCTTATTGTTTAATTAACTGTCTACATTTACATATGTATATGTATGTAAATTTATATTGTACACTATTATTAAAAGCATGTGTATGTAGACAAAAGGCTTCGATATGATTGACGGTCACGAGTGTATTCGAATTTATTGTATGTACATATATATTGTCGGTTGTTGGAATTGCAAATGTGACGGTTGTGATAATATAACACAGATATTAGAAAAATAAAAGACCTGTAAGCTTAAATGAATTATCGACTAAACTTATTCATATGATAAGTCTTAAATATGCATTCTATAAATATTTAAAAAAAAGTAAATAAAAGCAGATATTTAAATAAGGAACCAGTTCACGCTTGTTTGTGTATGGTGAGATTTGATTAAATAAAAAAAATTTGATAGAATTACAAAAATTAAAACTTTTTATTACTTATGAATATTTTAGACAAGATTTGCTGTGAATTAACCTGCAGATACACGCCGCTTAACTAAATACGGCATTAAATATTTGAAATTTTGGTGAATATTTGTTGATGCCCGGTTGCACTAATCAATTTTAATTTTATCAGCCTGTTAAAATTTAAAAGGGCACAATTTTGTTCGAAAAATTTGTCATTTTAAATTTTAACAGTCTGATAAACTTTAAACTTGATTGGTGAAACTGCGGATGAGTCTTTATAATTTTTGTACAAAGTTTGAAATGTGAATTTATATCGTATTTGTTATATGATGAGCCTGATGTTTATAAAAAAAATAATAAATTTAAAATAAAGAAAACGAAAACAGCCGAAACTTTTCAAAACATCGCTTAAATACTTAAGTAAGCTGACTGCAAGGGTATATAATCTGCCATTGAAACAGTTTTAAAAACATTTTGGTTTTCGTTTTTTTGTAAGATATCAAGTTCAGCATAGACAAACAAGTATGAATTGGCGCGACTTGAATAAGTAACACAGTTTTAACGATAAAAACTACTATTCTGAAGGCGAATTAATTTAAAAAATACACGATTTTAACTAATAAATAAAAGTTAAATTAAACGAATGCATTATTCAATATACCTACATATGTATGTATTATATTATGCCGCGCAAATTTGTACGAAAAATGTTTAAAGTTGCAGGTTCTCCATTTATTTATGTTTAAAGGATATTTTTGTATGTGTAAATACTCAAAAAAACTTTCACCTCAACTTTTTTTATTCCCATCTTGTATTCATAAATATGTATGTACTATTTTAAATACAACTCAATTTGTAGAGACAACCAAAATTATAAGCAAGTGTTATTTTATGCACAACCTTTGCTGATTATTTCAATAGGAAAATTAATAATAGTCAGCCCAAGAAAGTTAATAATAATATGTATGTGCATATCTTTATATTCTCAACCAAAACACGTAGATAGATGTATAACATATTTATAGGACAGACTTTAACATGAATTTAAATGTAAGTAACAATAAGTATGTATATGTATGTAAGCAGACATTTTAACATTATTATATGTATGTATATGTGCATAACTACATACTTACTCGATTATAATATTGATCCATATCTTAATGTATGTACGTATAGCCATAATTCTGTTATTCACATTTATTAATTTCTTGAAATCTATAGATGATTGAACGAAATCGATTCAGATTGGCATCAGCTATGTGTATATGTACATTAGGGCGGGCAAAATTGCTCGGGTGAGAAAAATTTCAAAAGGCGTATAGCAAAAATTAAATCTACGCACATTTCTAAGAAAATTACCCTAAGAAACCAGGGTTCTAAAATGATAACCTAGTTCTCGCCGACTGACATAAAATCTCAGTTTGAGCTATATTAAAATAACTGTACAGATTTTATGGAAAATAACATGTTATCATTAAGACCAAATATCGTTATTATTATATTAGTTCGAAAAGTAATCAGAAATTTGCAACACCTTACACACATATTTACACGAATTACGAAGCTGCTAAATATTTGTTTTGTTTGATTTATGTATGCACTTTATAGTTAACGTTCAAAAAGTGTGTGTTAATTTTTTTCCAAAAACTTTTTAAAATAAATAATAGGAAATCATGGAAATATCAGCGATGTTAATTTACTCTTCAAATTCGAAAATTGATTGGTTTGGAATGGCTTTCGAGTCAAGTTTTGATTTTATACCCAAAGTTTTGTGGCGAAGTTTGCTTAGAATTCTATACGCCTTTTGACAAAAACAATTGAATCACCCTAATGTTCATATCGTCGTTTAAAGAACGAAACCGCGTATCGTGGTCTGCAAAACCTCGTAACTGACATTTGTGCCAAAAATAGTATTTGGTCACCGGTAGGTCCTGACATCAAGCCCTTATCCATTCATACTAAAATACCGATACTTACATATAAGAAGAAGAGATAATTAGCAAAAAAGGGGGCACCGTTTTGAAATAAGACAAGTTTTATTTTCGCCTATAAAATTCACATTTCCTTGGTATGCGGTTTAGTACTTTAAAGTTTAAACAACGATGTATTCTCTAATAAATGATATAGCTGCTTTTACGTGAATCCTTCGAGACAAAATACCTTCTTAATGTATGTATGTATTTATTAATAAGTGTAATAAGAAATAAATAGTGCCTATTTAAATTAAACAATAAACGTTATAGCCATGTATAAACAACGAACGAATATTGGAATATGTAAAACAATCTTAAGAGGAAAGCGATTAAAATAAAGTATTTAATAAAGTAGAAACATATTAACTTTGTTTCAATTCAAATATACTTACTTTTATAAAAAGACACATTTTAAAAAATTTTTTTCCTGAATAAATTGTTCACATACAAATTTTTTGATATGAACTGAAGGGATTGATTCCTAATTACAATTACTAAGGAATGTAGTTGTAATTGTAATTGTAATGTAATTGAATTTACCCAGCTCTGGAAAGAAAAATAGTTGAAAAATACCTGCCCTGAAGTAAAAAACTCGTGTGCCAGTGTAACAAAACGTTTTTCTTTATTAAACATTTTTTTTTTGTAGAAATCAAAGCGCTTAAAATTTATCTTTGTGGATCTGCGAAATTGTATGAGAAATCAACAAATACCTGCATTAATTACATTTATGTGATTTATGTATCTTTACAGTTTACACACCCTTCTAAGTGATTTATGCTAATCCAATAGTTATGTAATCTTGCAATAATACTGACAGTACACAACATTACATTACATCGTTGTGTTTTCAAATTCCTATAGTTCCAAGTAATTACTTACGTATTTACTTATTTGCATACCAACTACTTACAATTGTTGTGTAATTGTTTCTTTTCATCACTTCAGTATTTATCGGTTGCGATCATTCGTTAACGATGTGCTAGATTTTTCAAAGATTCGAAGGACACAAAAACATTTGCTTGCAATATAACATATAATAAAAAAAATAATAAAAAAAAATTCAAATTAACAGAAACGATGTATATACATTATAAGTAACAACCCACTAATAACAGCGCAAACAATGTTAAATTACACAAATAAACAAGCTGACAATTTGCAGTGTTCACAGTTAGAAAAATTACTACAACTCAACTCAACAACAGCAATAAGAAGAAAATCAATTGCAATGGTGTTGTCTAACAACTACAAAGAAAAATTAAAAGCATTAATGCTGTTTGGAAGGTATGTATGTAGGTGTTTCTTACTTTTGTGTTCTTTTACGCTTTAGGTCTACATGTTGTATGAAAGCTATACTTTTTTGTGCGTAAATTTTTGCTGCTTTTCAGTGTTATTTTTGTTGTGCTGTTATTTGTCTGACATTTAAAAAAAAAGTTTCACGAAGACGCAGCTGTGTCGTGCAGTGTTTAGAAGCAGGTATGCTACATATCTTCACTGGTTATCTGATTGCATCAGTATTCCCGGCTGAATATTAAAAGATTCTATCACAATATATGCCTCGATTTTTTTCTAATATTTTTCCAACAATTTTTTATAAATATATGGTTCATTCAACAACAAAAAACATAAAATATATTTCCTACACTTTGCGCAAAACTCGCGAAAATTTAGAAAATTTTCATGCAAATTTTCAACTTTTTAATCAGATTTTTTACATTTTTTCGAGTATGCAGTTTTGCAGCCCATTAAATTTTAGTAAAAAAATTCAAATTCGGAGTTAGTCAAAAATCGCATTGATTTTTGAGATTTTTTTTGTTGAAAGTGTTTTGCATTTTTTCCGTATAAAGTATTTTCGAAAAAAAAATTTTTATGGACTGCGTGAAAAAATTTACAAAAATCTACGGTAATTCCTAGCTACTTAAAATTTGTACTTGTAAAAAATTTGCTGAATTTTCGTGAGTTTTGCACAAAGTATAAGAATTATATTTTTATGTTTTTTGTTGTAGAATGAATCATATTTTTATAAAAATTTGGCAGGAAAATATTAGAAAAAAAAATGTTTGCATATATTGTGAAAAATTTACCGTGCCAATACTTTTTGCCAGCAGTGTATGTATCAATTTTAAGTAAATATTTAAAAATTCTTTAACCTCACTGTACAAAATTTTTGAAAATAATTAAAATAATTTCAGTACAAAATATTTAGTTTTATCTTATCGATTGTATTGTGTAAAGGACATACATATGCCACCGTCAACGAACTGATTGGGCTTTATCAGTGTGGCTTTAGACCTGGCAAATCCACCACAGATCAGGTATTCACAATACGCCAAATCTTGTGAAATACTCGCGAGAATAGCATCGGCGCACAATATCTATTTGTCGGTTTTAAAACCCGTTTTCCGCAGCATGAAAAAAAATTGTATTTATGCTGCAATGTCTGAATTTGGTATCCCCGCGAATCTTGCGATACGGCTTTGTAAAATGACATTAAGCAATACCACCAGCTCCGTCAGAATTGGGAAGGACCTAGCCGAGTCGTTTGATACGAAACGAGGTTTCAGACCAGTTATTGGAGAATATAATAACAGCCGCAGAACTGTACCATCATAACCCTAATGCACACACTTTTAGTGGTATGGATGTGCGCAAATTGTTGTTGCTGACTTTTTGAGATCTTAATCTTTTACTCGCAACGAAAATACCAACTAAATAATCAAACTAATTATAGCCACAAATACGTGCTGCTAACAACATTCCATACATTAATAACAATGGCGAGCCATCCGAATGTCATTTGGCATCCGTTCAATGGCTAAAAAATTGCTTGTGGCGCACAACAGCGCCAGTTGCAGCAGGCAGCAGCAATATTTTC